AAAATATACTATATATAGATGTTAATTTACTGAAATAAAGTGTGTGTAACAGTTACATTCTTCTTTGGCTATTAACCATTGGATGCAAAACGATTTCGAAAGGGATAACCTAACACGTACATACATACAGGCGATAATACCTTTTCCCTTACAGTCAAGGAAATAAGACAGCTGAGTGAAGAAGATAATTAAAGTAATTATTACTTAGATAAACGCTTTCGCTGTCATTTGTTCATTGTAGTCGAGCTTCTCTTTCGAAGTTATTACAGCACCCTAAAACTCACTAAAACTTACATAAATGTTTTAACATTTAAATCAATAAATCTACATTTGCACCTTGTTATTTAATCAAAATTTTTATTATATCATGAGATTCGACTGAAGTGTTAATCAATAAGAGATTTCTAGAGAATTGTATGGGATGTTCTTCTCCTTCTCCACTAAGTACTAAGTTTGCAAATAAATTTTTCAGTTCAACAGTTTGAATTTTAAAAGCTGATCGTTATATTTTAACTATTCATTGCATTCTTCATTTGAATTTGATGAGTTTTGTTTGTCAATAGCCAGTTTTATTGAACAGATATAATTAAAATAATCATCTGGTATCGGTTTTGGAAAACTTCGTACCAGGTGCAATAACCCATTTTTGACCATTTTCATCAAAAATTAAAAAAATTTGTAACTTAATCAGAGTCCATTCAGACTATTTCAGAATGTAATTTCTTTCTTTAATAGGGATAGTTTTGAGTACAAATAGTAGAGCATTTACAGCCGTGAATAAACGCATTATAATTTTATTTCGAGCTTTCGAAACCTATTCCATTATCAAGAAATCTAAAGCATTAAATCGAAGTCAACAAGACAGAAACGTGAATCATATTTAATATAGTAGACACGTGTAAATTTCACACTAGTGTATCTAACAGAAAAGATGAATTTTGACTATTGTAGCGTGACTGTTTGCCTTTGACTTTTGTCTGTTCTTTTCGATTAAGACAGACGCTACCTTCTGGAAATATAACCGGAGGAACAAATCGAGTTGTGGAATTTAGATCTGGATTACGTGCTATTAGTTGTAATGATTCTTTAATTGACAGACGATAAGTTGTGTGTTTCGACAGAATCTTTTGAAATCTTGTCGTTTTATATGAGGATTTTTTTTATGTTCATGTTTATAGACCGCAGATTTAGAATTGAAATGATCGTTTAAATTCAGATGATCATTATCCTCTGTCCCCTCCTCAGGTATATCATTTTCGTCATCAAAACCATAAGGATTTTGTTTTTTTTGCCCGTGTCCTTTTGAACACCTTGAGTCTTGAGTATTTGTCGTAGTAGTTAGATAGTTATTTATATTAAGAGTATGCGAAATCTCTGTTTTATGTCCATGTTCTTTAGATCGTCTTGCCGCTTGTCTTAAAGCCTTTTAGTACAGTCATCACATTCCAAATGACAGACTATTTTTTTATTGCAGATATTTTGAAATGTTCGTCCTACTGCCGTGAGCGCCCTTGGCACAGTTAAAATTTCAATATCTAGATAAACTTTTTCAGATTGAGTCGCAGCCTTTTACTAAATATTTTGATGACTTGTCCTTTGTATAGTATATCTACTACAACCAATTCCTTTTGTTTTGTTGCTTGATTACGCGTCATCTTTAGCAATACTCAATCAGAACTCATAAAGACAGAAGTTTGTGAAAACGGTTTTTAAATACTCTAAGAGCTGCTTGTTCATCAGTTTGTCCTAAAACACTGTGAATGTTTTGCATCCAGTTTTCGGGAGCCAACTCTATACGAACTCTGAAGTTCTGATGTCTTTACTTTCGGGAAGTCCAAAAAAGGATTTGAATCATTTCTTTTGGTTCTAAAAATGGCTTCTTATGAATATTCATAAAGTTTGACTCACTATAAACGCGATACAACAGTAGTTGAAAACTGGAAGATCTATTAATAGAATTTTCATTAGCTCTGCGATTTTAGAGTTTAGTTGTTATCTTTATGAGAGATTTTTATAATTTTTTCTTGAAAACATAAGGACAGAGGAGTTTTTTGAATGAATTATGAGTAATAATGGGAAAAAACAAAGTTTCAGGTGGCTACCTGGACATATGACACATCACCTTTGATGAATCATGCATTATTGAGCCTGTATTGCGAAACTACAACATATTTGGCGCAATTCCATATTGTTCGTATTAAGTGTCAGTCGAAACGACAAAATTATTTTATTTTTATTGCATAATAACTAAGTAAATTGTAGATGAAATATAAAAAAGATTAATTTTATCAACATATTTCCATCTTGCAAAACTACTGTTATGATAAGAATCGAACAATATCAACACTCTTCTTATAAATTTGATCATTTTTATTTTTATTTTTGAAGATAAGTTACAGATCTTATCTGATATGGAATCATCGTTGTCATCAGATACGTCGATGGCAACTGTAATTTCCAGTCATTTTCCCACAGAGCTGCTTTTGATACTCGAACGAGCAATAGAAGCTCCTCGTTGGGTAGTAAAAGTATGTCCTGGTGACGAATTGGAAAAATGTCTTCAATCAACTATAAATCTTATCAAAGTCGGTCACATCGCGGAATTAGACACGTCTTGTAAACGTTTTCTAGAAGTCTATATACCTAATGCATTTAGAAAAGTAAGAGAAAACTAGTTTAAATATTTTGACGAGTCTGACTGTTTTCTTTTGTAAATTGACAGATACAGTATGATTATGCAGTGGACACATGGTCAGAAAGTATACAAAATGATATTTATGAAACTTTAAAATTGTTCATAGATCTTGTGGCCATTCGTTTATCATATTCACCACCAGTACCAGTACAATTACTAGAAACTTTATCCATGATATTTGATTGTAATAATAGATTTCAAATTAAACACAAACGGAAACCGTATGATTACGAAGAATTTGAAAATAAATTTGACTATGAAACAATATTAACATGTCAGCCATTGGCAGAGGAAAACAGCTACGGTTGGTTACGTTCATTAATTAATCGATTTATAGTCAACGATGGCATTAAAAATATAATAAAGCAATTTAATAATCATTCTTTGACCGCTAAGGTAAGAGTCGACTTGGAACACCTACCGCGATACTTTTATAAAATGCATCAATCTATCTTTTCTAATGTTCGGCAGCTATAAACAGATCATTTCGGATTGATTTTGATAAAGTTAAGAATCGAACAATCTATTACAGCTATCCCTACGACCTTTTTAAATCAAAGTAAGAAAGCTGATGTAATAGTTATCTAAGCGTGTAAGACAAGAAAATTTCAACTGCAAAAAATAGTCCAACGTGTTTCTCGCGCGAAACCAATTTTGATAAGAATAGGCGCTCGACAAAATGAGCTACCTCTCTCGTAAACCTATCTCCTCCCTGGTTTTGAAAGTTTTCTCCGATCGTCATATGCCATTCGAATCAGCATTTAAAGGCGAACAAAAGTATGCATCGCTTTTTCCAGAAATTTATTTCATTCCTGAGAAAGTATATTCTTTCTGAATCAGGAACGAAAAAATCGGAATTCTGCCTGTAGTTCTCTATTTTCTCCATCAGAACTCGTTTTTTATGCAATAAAACTATCATATTCGGAGTTTACGTCGTAAACCGAATCGAATGATATATGTTTCAAAATTTGGCGAAAATCTCAGTAATTCTTGGACGTGAAAATTC